AAATATATTTATATGAAAAAAAAGTAATGACTGAAAATTATAATTCACAAAACATTCAACAAATAAAATTTCCTCAAGTAGTATTTTCTTTAACTCTGAAATAGAATATTCACTGTCATATTCAATGGCATATAAGAGGCTCTCTCCAATTTATATTTAATATTTAGACTTTATGAATTTAATTGCAAAACTAGATTGGCAGCAAGATCTCATCATTTTAGAGCTGAAATGGTTAAATGTAACTGTAAGTTCTATGCTAATAGTTTCTTTTCTCACACTTCTTACTTGTGGAATTCTCTTCCATCAACTTTGATCATTAAAAGTTTAAATGCAATGTCAATCGTTGTCTTCTATTTTGTTAATTCCTGTTCTCTTCTTAATAGTATTTTTTTTCACATATACTCTTACACTCTGTAATCCCTTGCATCTAAGTGGCTTTATTGCCTTTCTTGTGGTGAAGCATTAATTCAAGAATAATCTGTACTTACACATCAAATTTTAAACAAAGATGAATATATTTTTATCTATATTTATTTGATATATGTATTATTAAGTATGAAAATAGTAAGTAATGATAATTATTGTTTAATTGTTATGATTTATCAACATTTAATTCTGTGCTATTTGGAAAAATTTTATTCACCAGACATACAAAATATGTAGGGGAAAAATGGATGGTGTTTATCCATCTCTTATCATAAAAACTCTCTCTTTTTCACAAAGCATTTCATTTTTTATTTTTATCTAACAACAAAGTTATTTTATCGTTCCCTTATGTCTTTAACTTTTTTCCTTTTACTCCTTTTCCCTTCATTTTTACTTTCCTCTTCATTTTTTTCTTTCTTCCTTTTCTCTTCATTTTTTCCTTTCTTCCTTTTCTCTTCCTTTTCTCTTCATTTTTTCCTTCTGTTTCTCTTCATTTTTTTCTTTCTCCTTTTCTCTTCATTTTTTCCTTTCTTCCTTTTCTCTTCATTTTTTCCTTTCTTCCTTTTCTCTTCATTTGTTCCTTTCTTCCTTTTCTCTTCCTTTTCTTCTTTCTTCCTTTTCTCTTCATTTTTTCCTTTCTTCCTTTTCTCTTCATTTTTTCCTTTCCTTCTTCTCTTTCCTTTTTCAAGCATTACTTTCTTTTTTCACTAACAAAGTCCTCAGGAAAAAAAAAAGTTTGTTTTCATTCATTCAAAAAATTGATTTCAAGGTAAATTTCAGTATCTGTGTGTGTGTGTGTGTGTATGTATGTGTATACACACACACATATATATATATTATATATTATATACATATATATATGTGTGTGTGTATGCATGAGTGTATGTGTGTGTGTATATATATATATATATATATATATATATATATATATATATATATATATATATATATGATATGGGGTGTAGAAATGTTATCTGTTTGGTCCACTACACAAAATTAGTTTTCTTTGACCATCAGTATAATGATTTAGGGAAGATTAAGATTGAACTGAGAACTTTTTACCAACCCCTTATATATTTCCATGCAAATTTGATTACAAGGCCAATGAACATTCCTTGATTATGATTTTTTATTGATTCATTCTTTAATTCTGAAAATTTTTCTGGATTCCAGAATGAGGTTAGAACATGAATTCATGAATTATCCAATATCTTCTAAGCTTTTTCAGTTTCTATAAGCCATTATCAATTTGTTTAAAGACAAATAAAATGAAGAAATCCTACCTACTCTGGGATCTTGCCCATATATATATATATAAAATTAATGAAACGCTGAAAATAACAAAAGAAAAAAACTAAAAAATCCAGGCTTAAGCCACCAGAAATAAAAGAAAAATAAGAACCATTAAGGAACCTGCCCCCATCTTAATAAGATACAAAGTGCTCAGTAATCCAGAAATTTCGAATTAGAAAACCAACTTAGAGATGGAATCCAATCCAAAAACCTGGTCCATGAAATGCAACATCACAAAGCCTCTTTCTGAAAGAGCCAATTTTGTATCTGCTTATGAAGATGGTTAGAATAAAGTACATTTCAAATGTTTTTTTCACCCCTTTTTTGTTTTCAGAAATTAAATGTATTTTCTTCAATTTTACATAAAATAATTTTTTGGATATCTGTAAATTGTCAACCTAAAATGTCTTGGAGATTTACCATCCTTATTCATCACCACAGATTGAGACATGAAACAACAGAAAAATAAATGATACCATGAAATATTCCTGGACACACACACACCCACACCCATATATATATATATATATATATATATATCTTTTTAATCATATCATTCCATGCAAGGTAGTAAAGCCACAAAGGCATAAGAGGTTACAGTATGTGAAAGAACAAGAAAAAAAAGAAATATTACTGAGAACAATAGAGGAGTAATCAAAAGGACACTAGATAACGATTGACATTGCATTTGAATTTTTGAAGATCAATGTTCGCTGGAAAGTATAGAGTAAGAAGTGTGATAAAATAAACTGTTAGTGTATATATATATATATATATATATATATATATATATGGTCTGACGATTGTGTTTAAGCATGAAATAGACTGTTGTCACTGAGTGTTGATTTCAATTTATATTTATATTTACATATGCTCTATCCCTGATATTGAGCACCAATAAATATAGCATAGCTTACTTAAAACTATATTTTTTATCATATATATACATGTTTAAGGTATACTTATGGCTTGATGATTGCATATAAGCATGAAACAGACTGTCGCCACTGAGAGATTGAATTCGATGTTCACTTTTATATATATAATTCACTTGAAGATAAAACAGAACTAATGCTTTTAATTTAATCATATAATTAAATTTGAAGTTTTTAGCTTTGGTTTTTGAAACATGGTAATTCCTGTGTAGTGAAGAAACCATATTTTAAATCATTTAATTTATAATATTTATGCTCTTTAAATTTACATTGAGCACTGTTTTGTAAAAATAAAAATATCAATAAGAACACTGGATTAAATATCTTACTGTTCTTTCTTTTTATTACAATATATGTGTATATATATATATATATAAAATTACTTCACCTTGCTACAAGAGTTGAAACTCTGGGATTTTCAGTCTGAGAAGTGAAACTGCAATAGCAAGATAATTATATCGTTTTATAATAAACTTTCTCAATATTGCTCTATGACAGTTTTAGGTATTGAGCACTTTTTGAAATTTGCTTAGACTGGTCAATTTCAAGGTTAACTTTGTTGTGTAATTGATTTAAATGAGTGGAGATTCTGTAATGGGCATGTGGCCAAGCATTTAGAATTCTTGCTTTTTGATCCCAACCACAAGACATGGGTTCATGTCTCACCATTGTCAGTTTACCAAGAAGGTCACCTTGATGTTATTGGCCTGGGGAGGTGATCTGTTGGAAAGTGTCTAAAAATCATACCACAGGGGAGCTGGAATTATTTGTTGAATGTTGTGCTGACACAAAGTCAAAAAATCATTGTGACCGAGGGTTTTATCACACCCTATGATGCACTCTCTCCCAGAAACTGTAACTAAGGCCTACTTAGCATAGTTGCAGTATAAACCATAGGTAAACTCTGAGTGATAAACAAACACTAATGTACCTGAGCAGGCATTTGCAATAGGGATTGATTAGCCAATATAGCTTAAAGGCATACTCAGAAACAAGCAACTAGTCAGTTATGTGCTATGAGTGGTACATGCTTAGGTGATCATGTATCTTTCAATACATGACTGACAAGGCAGATTTTTTCCCACAGTAGGTTGCCATTTCTTTCTGCAGTAAACCAGTTGCCATCCATGGCTATAGAACCTAGTCTGTCCTACTATTTGCCCATAGTTGGGGGGAGAAGAAGAGGATTCATGCCTTTCCCAAGAGTATTAGCACATAAGTAAATATAATGAATTCGACTGGAATTCGAATTCAGCTCTCCGATTCCTGATCCAATATTATTTCTTTATATTATAAATGTTCTATTTAGTGAGATATTTGAATAGATATCTACTATTTTTTCATTTAGTTTAGTTTTTAAACATTCAAATTAATCTCTACTGGAAAACTTTTGACAGGAATGGAAGCAGTTCTCCATTTTTAATCTATGCAACTACCTTCAAATCAGCTGTGCTTTACTATTAATATGTTTTAGAAAACAAAAAAAAAAAAAAAAGAAAAGTATGTCTACTCAAGCACATGTCCCCACTAAATATAAGTAGGCTTCCATTTATCTTGCATATTCCAAAGGAATACAGGGCATTACATTTGGGGCCTCCTTGACTGTAGGAGTTGCCAGAAAGTTGTCAGTGTTGACAGCTAACTACTTTTGGGGCTCCACCCCAGGTTTTCTGTCTGGATTTTCTTCCATCGCCTTTTCCGTGTTTGGATATATATACATATACACACACACACACACACACACACATGTGTAAGTATATAAAATTCTTGTGTGCATGTGGTTACGTAAGTACATCAATAAACCTGCAGCCTAAGGATAAAAAAAGCATTTATTTTACACAGCAAATATTTATTTTCAATATAATTTCTTTCCTTGTCAATGCACTTAATTCAGTGGTGACTATTATTAATATAGATTAACTATTGTACAGTCAAAATTTCAGATCACAATTCACTTAATATCTACATATTAGGTTACAGACATTTTGATCTAACCTCACATATGTAATCTGTATCATGCTTCTTATACATATAAATATATAATGACAAAATTTGTTAATAATCACAAGCACCAACAACAGATAAGACAAAGTCCAATTGACTTGAATAGTAGATCATTTGACTTTCTTGTTTCTTTTTTATCCAATTGCACGTTTTCCTTTGGATTAGGTTAATCTATATTTTGGATTAGATTAATCTATATTTTGTCCTGTCCCTGTTTTTCCGACTTGTTGCCCTCACCATTTTATTTAAGCTTACTCGCAGCAGTTTTTTTTTTTTTGCTTTTTTTATTCTCTACATTTTTCCTAAATATTTTTGATTTTTTTTTATGCCCAATCAGTTTTTATGATATCTCTCTCTCTCTCTCATTTGTCAAACTCTCCTTCTTTCTCACTCTACTCTTCCTTTCTCTCTCTCTCTCTCTCATTTGTCTTCTTTCTTTCCTCTCTGTAAATCTGTAATGTGCTTATCTATCTATCTCTTTTTTGACATACTCTCCTTCTTTCTTTCTCTCTCTTCCGCTCTCATCTGTCTTTCATTCCTCTCTTTAGATTGGTAATGTGCTTATCTCTCTCTCTCTCTCTCTCTCTTGTTTATCATAATCTCCTTCTTTCTCTCACTATCTCTCTCTTTTTCTTTCTCTCTCTCTCATTTATCTTCTTTCTTTCCTATCTGTAGGTCTGTAATGTGCTTATCTATCTATCTATCTATCTATCTATCTATCTATCTTATTTGTTATATTCTCCTTCTTTCTCATTTGTCTTCTTTCTTTCCCATCTGTAGGTCTGTAAAGTACCTATTTCTCACTCTCAGAGAATAAGAAATACTTATCTCTTTCTTTCGCTTTCTCATTAGAAAGTCTTTAATGGCTAATTTTAATTTTATATTTTTGTTTCTTTTGCAGGTAAGTATTTCAAGATGGAAAACCTTCTTGCAATCTTTTGCAGTAATTCTTTTATTCTATGGTTAACAAAGGTAAGTGTTACTTGTTCAACAATTTCAGGTACAAAAGGTAGTAGAAAGTCGGGCATTAAAAAAAAGAGTTCCTTTGTTTCTGTATATATATCATATACTTAGGGGAAAAAAAATGAAAGAAAATTGCAAAAAATGTTTCCTCTGATAAAGACACCTTAATGTTGTACCCATTTTAGTGTTCAGAGAAAAATGAGTAATTCAATGAATTCTTGCTAAAATTAAAACCATTCTTGAAATTCAAAGTTTTAAAGTGTGTGTGTGTGTGTGTAAAGGATGAACCCAACTAAAAGGATATTTTTTAGGGAGAGAGTGAGAGAAAAGAGAATGTCACTTTTCTTATTCTGAATAACTAAAGGCACATATAATAACAAACAGGACTTGAAACTCTGTGGTGAAATTTGAAAGGAACAATCATTTATTATATTGACATTAAAACATAACAAAATACAAATTTTATAAAATGTTTGTGCAAAAATTTCCTTTTGCACACCTTATTATTGAAAACAAGATAACCAGTTCAAAATATAGAATTATTGGCTCATAAAAAAGATATACACTATTCTACAAACTTTCAATAATTGAGAAAAAAAACTTGAAGAGGTATGATACAAATTTCTTTTTAAAGAAGTTTCTAAAAACACAAACTTTTAACAATTGAAATATCTTTAGAGAAGGTACAATACAGTCCCTTAAAAAAAAAAGATTTAAAATACACATTCTTTAAAATAATGCACTTACTTAATTGAAAAATGAAACAGAGAAGTCTTTGGCAGGGTTCACCAGCATCATTTGGATTTTTAACAGTTTTATTCTTTTTCTTGAACAGTGTTTGAATCACTTCACAGGTTTCCCTTTGGTTATACTTCTTTTTCTGTTTTCATTTGATTCTTACTTCTGTAAGAAACAGCAAAGATCATCCACTGGTGATAGCCAAAATAGCTTTTCCTTCTGGATCTTTGTAATTTTTTTATAACCTTCTGGTACCTTGTGACATTTTGTTACCTTTTTATTTATTTGAAATTTTTATGCTTTCTGCACTTCCCAAAATTTTCTCATCTTCTTATATAGCCTTGAAATAGGCTCCAAATTGACCTCAACTTTTACATTTGTGTGGATGAAAGTCACCTTTCTGATTGGTAAAAAATACAAAGCTGTATAAATTTTTGAATTTGCAAGTTAAAATACAACCCCCCCACCTAACTTTAACCAAATTATTTTGGCAGGTTCTTATCAGGCCCCTCTATTTTTAGAAAATTTAACAAATTTCACATCAAATTTATTTTTATTAGCCATTTGCCTTTTTTTTTTAATCATTTTCTTTTTTAAAAAAACACTTCTCTTAAAAGCAAGCATAATAAACAAGCAGTCTATTATAATATTTATTTTTTTTATCTACATATTAATCATTTATTTAATTTACATTTTTCATATAAATTTTTATATTCTCCACTCAAGAGAAAGAGGGATAATTAAACTTAGTATATGCTATTATTTATAACTATTTTATATTCAGTCATTTATGTACCATGCTTGATACATGCTTAGGTGATCCTGTATCTTTCGATATATGACTGACAAGGCAGATTTTTTTCCCACAGTAGGTTGCCATTTCTTTCTGCAGTAGACCAGTTGCCATCCATGGCTATAGAACCTAGTCTGTCCTACTATTTGCCCATAGTTGGGGGGAGAAGAAGGAGATTCATACCTTTCCCAAGAATATTAGCATGTAAGTGAATGTAATGGATTCAATTGAAATTCGAACTCAGCTTTCCAATTCCTCAATCTGAGCTGCTATCCATTACTCCACCATGCCTCTTTTTATATTCACCTTTCTTATAAAAAGAATTTATACAACTCCTGAGAACATCTGAGTTGCCAATAAACATTTGATTAGCAGGTAAGACGTGTATTTGATGTAAATCTCTATTATCCTCAGAATATAAACAACAAAAATCCTTTTCAGTCTTACTTTGATTCTATGTTTCAAAATAGTCTGGCAGCATGTTTTATAATAAACTAATGATAATAATGCTATCATTTTTTTAAATCAATTCACCTCAAGTAAGGCAATAATGCCACTAAGATACAAGGGACTACTGGGAGAGAAAGAAAGGGAAAAGACTTTAGAAGGAACTGAAAACCTGATCCTAAACAGGAAACAAGGATTTACTCCTGTTCAAAAAACCTGGGAGGAGTGTGAACCAGGCAATAGGCGAACTTATCTACTCCTCATATTATGTGTATTATATTATACATTATTATACATATTATGTAATTTCAATTTATCCCAAGGCAAACAAAATTTCTGCCAATAAAATGCTTGATAATTGCCTACAGCAATAATTATTGAATCAGGAATAATAAGGTTCACAATATTTATCAGAGTTCGTCACTGAATTTTGTGCTTTGCCACTTGTCAGAAATCATTCTTATCCTGATGAGTGAGAAATTATGAAACTCAGAGTTGACTTCCAATAAATATTGCGAGCATGTTATATATATATATATATATATATATATATATATATATATATAATAGAGAGAAATGCTGTTTTGCACAGTCATATTAAGGACATTTACATAATTTTCATCAGAATAAAAAATGTTCTAAAGTTAATTTTGATAAAGCTGTCAAAATCTTAGACCATTGTGAAATGATTACATGTCTCTTTGTCTTGACTGTTTTAACAACTGAAGAATAATTGCAAGACAGTTTAATTTGATCGCAGATAGTTAAAAGGACACTTAAAAATAGCTTTCCTATTACTTATGCCATTGTATTTACCATCTAAATGTTTGCTACTGACAATACAAATGATTTATCCCTTTGATTTCTTCTAAGAATGTCAGAACATTGAGGTGAACCTCTTGTTAGAATGGCAATGATTTCCTTTTCAACCACTCTCTCTCTCGTGCACGACTGCTTTCATTAGCAGTGTTACATATCATTACTGAGCATATTGGATAGTAGCAGAAATGAAGCAGGGGTAGAGGATGCAGACCTGGGCAGGGAAAATTTAGTTTTAAGAAAGATCATGGATGCTTACTCTCTATTCCCAGTCTATCCTGCAAGCCCGAACCAGTTTCTCTCTATTTCTCTCATGCACACTCTTAGACTCTCAAGCTTCCAATTTTCTGCTAAAACGGATGCTTGTCTTGTCCCTGCTGTTGTATCTATGATGGGGCCAAAGTAAGACAAGTTCCTGATCAACCAGGTGGAAATCTTCCTCGAAAAGATCCCAGACCTGATATAAAATGAATGGTCTAATGACCAATTTGGTCAGTGGATGAAAGAAACGATGTAAACGGAAAACGTTCTCTCCCCTAACGTTTCATACCCCCACCCATGACTCAACAACAGTATCTGTGGACAATCAAAAACCGATCTGAAGTGGGCGTATTACAGGAGGGTCAAAGGATAGGGGAGTGTTGGATGGGGTTTCATCTATTGTCGTTGCACTTGCTCAGGTCCGTGCTTTTACTAGATGCCACTGTACCTGACTAATACATCTGTTATAAGACTTCATGCACAATCGCAGGCATATGGAGGCTTTCCGCTTCATTCCAACAAGAAGGAAAGGCTTGTTTCATCTAAAACAGAAACAACAGCACAATAGAAGAAGCGGCCCAAACACAAAATTTCATTACGAGTTAGTTTTCTTTTTCAGTCATTAGGAATGCATTCAGTTCAGTATCTCTCTTGCTACTTTCATTTTATTAAGATAATTTTATTTGTTTCATTTCTCAATGTTTTTCTTTTCTTTGTGACTTTCTTCTCTTTAACATTCTCTGCCTGCTTATTTTCTTTCTTTTTTCTTTCTTTTTTATGAGTTCTCCATCTTGTTTGCACTCATATTTTCTTTATTGCTCTCCCTCTCAGCTTTATTACCCTGTTCCTCTCCCTGCCTGTTGTCTTCTCTCTCTTTTATTTATTGATGTCTCTTTTTCCTTTTTATCCCATCTTTTTCTCTTTCTTTTTTACTTTCTTCATTTCTCTTTATATTTTATTTCATTTTTGCCCCTCTTCATTCTTTTCTTCTTTGTCACCCTTTCTCTTTCTTTTCCCCACTGTTCCTTTTCTCTCTTTTCCACTGTCTCTTTTCTCTCTTGTCCCCAATCACTTTTCTCTCCTTTTCTCCACACCATTTTCATTCCTCCTCTTTTCTTTCCTTTTTCTCCACTCTCTTTTTCTCTACTCGTTTTTTTGTCCCCTCCCTCTTTCTATTTACTTTTCTTCTGCTGTCTCTCTCTCATATTTGGCTCTCTCTCTCTCATATTTTGATCTCTCTCTCATCTTTGTCTCTCTCATCTTCAGCTTTTTCTCTCTTCTTTGGCTCTCTCTCTAATTTGATTCTAATCTCAATCTTCCTGGCAGTTACTCCAATGTTCCTTTGCTTTTTATTTTATCCTTTTTCAAATCTTTCTCTCTTTTCTTAATCATTAGTCATTACTTCATGCATTTACTTTTTGGAATAGACTTTTTCCTCAATTCCTCAAAATTTTACTTTTCCTTTCTACCTTTCTCCATTTCTTTCATTCTTTCATCAAATTTTGTCTTTTCTCTCATATGTTCTTTTGCTATTAACCAGCCAATACAAGTTTCAAATCTTCTACATGTCATGTCCCTTCAGGATGTGGGTGATCATGGCACTGCACAACATCCTGTCTCTTGTAGCAAAGTTCATCTTTGTGCTATCTCTTCTAAATCTCTGTACTGCCAACCATTTAACAACACTGTGTCATCTGTATATTGTTAAGATTGTGACTATCAATAATGAATCCTGGTATGGCTTAAATTTAATAGGGTGTCACATAAATACATTCACTTTTTATAATTTATTTTAATACTTATTTTTTTTTTTTTTAATTTTTAATTTTTTTTTTTAAGCGCTTCACCCCAAGCAAGGCAAGAAGCCACTAGGATGCAAGGGGTTACAGAAAATTTGGAGCAAGATCAGATAGGAGTGATAGAGGAAAGAATGAGGAGAAGAATAGTGGATAGATCAAGGCAACTGGAGATGTCGATTGATATTTATTAATAGTTCTGATGAATCACTCCACATTGTATTCTCCTTCATTGTTTATGACCTCCTGCCAATGATGCACTAATTGTTCAATGCTTCAACAGTAGAAATCACTAGGTTTTAACTCTAAAAATTCATCAAGTCATGTTTTAAGCACCACATTGTTGTTGAATGAAACACCTCTCAAATTGTCAGAAAACTACTGAAAAAAATGGTAGTCTGAATGGCGCCAAATCAACAAAGCTTTTCAGCTGAATTGCCTCTTAGTGCCTGTTCATTTGTTCAACATACAGTTTATCATTGACTATTTGGTTGTTTTGAAGCATTTCAAATTTAAAATTAAATTAGTCCTTACCAGTCCCACCAAACACAGATTATTTGCTTGCATCAATGCAGCTCTGACTTGGTTTAGCGTGTTGACTGCTTGTCAGGACTCACCTGTTCTTTTCTCTGCTCCATATTTTCATAAAGACACCATTTTTCATTCCTCAGTGATAAAACAGTTAAGTAGTCTTTCCTTGTATCCACAAGGAGCCCGGTGCTGAGTGAGTACACTGATGGCAATGGACAAGTGCTGCAGTTTGTTTCTCTCAATCAATGCATATGGCACCCATGCACCATGTTTCTGGACTGCACCCATTGAATGAAGATGATGAGCCACAGTAACATAAGATCTTGCCATCTTTTGGACCAATTCCTTAGTGGTCTAGCATGGTTCTTCTTTAATCAGCATGTACAACTGGTTCTCATCAAACTGAAAAAGGTTGACCAGAATGTGGAGAGTATGTAAGTTCAAATTTACTCTCCTTGAAATGGTAAAACCGTTTCTGTACTATTCTGTTGATAATGAAGTCATCTCCATACACAGTACAAATGTAATTAACAGCTTTGGCAGCTTTTTCACCTTGATTAAAAACAAAGAGAAGAAAATATCAAACAAGCTCATTCTTGTCTACCCGGCATTCTATCTCAAAAGGGTGTCTAATTTGAAATAAAATTTTTATAGCATTAGACAACAGTTTTACAGAAAGACCAGTGTTAGTAAGAAGCAAAAAGTGCTATGAAAGATTATTCTTTAAGATCATTTGCAGAACATCAACTTAATACTCTGTTTAAAACAACAAAATGAGAATCTGTAGAAATTTTTTCCAAAATTAAAAAAAACATTTGCAATCTTTAAAATTTGGTATTATTTGTTTTACTTTTGAAAAAACAGAAATTCTTTTCCAAAATGTGTACTTGGCTCCATGTATGTTAATGGCCAAAACATGTTGCTAGCAGATTTTAAGTTGATCTATTAACATTTATAATAAAACAGTCATTCAGAGTTTGTATTTTCACCATATCTGTCTCAGATGATGAGAAAAGTAGAAAAGTTTTGAGTTCAAAACCACAATGAAGCTATAAATGTTTGTTGCAACTAAATTTGAACAACAATTATGTCTTAGTTTCTGATTTCCAAGAGCCATGCCACCAGAACCTTGATTATATTGGTAAAACTCAAATTTAATATCTAAATCCATTTTTTAAATGTTACTTCATTAATGTAAATGATTTGAATTCAAAAAGGTATATAAGCCATGAATTTTAAAATTAAATAGCAATGATATTCAGCATTTCTTGGATCAAGTAATATTCCTTTGCTCTGGTGCCATCTACAGTCATTTCTTTGAAATATTTGAGTATACCATAAAATGATGTTAGTGAAAATGATGCGAATCAAAGTAGTGGTTAGGTTTATTTTGTTAGTTCAATTTGTTTTATCCAGTCCACTGGGTCCAGGCCATTTCTGGATCACAGAAAATGTTGAAATCACCACTACAAGAATTCCTATGTAAACTATTTACATTATTCTGACTATTGTCCTCATCTTTGTCGACATATTTATTACAAGGTTTCAGCTGTTGTACGCTCCAGCCTTCTTCAGGTGGTTGGAATGTTGAACTGAACCTTTTATTTCACCCACTGGGGTAGACTGTTCTAGTTCCATGTGCCATGTTTAATGGATGTCACTTATCAGTTATCTCCTGTTAATTCCCCTCTCCAAGTTCTCTACTACCTTAACTGGGTATTGAACCCATACTCTTTGGGTCCTGTCACTGGATCTAACCAACGCCTTTATCCACTGTGCCATATTTCCTTGAACATTCTACCCCAGTGAGCGAAATAAAGGGTTCAGTTCAACATTCCAACCACCTGAAGAAGGCCGGAGTATACAATGGCTGAAACGTAATAAAAATGGCAACAACGATGAGGACAATAGTTCAATTAATGTAAATAGTGTATATAATACCTCATCTCAGAAATATAGACAGATACCCTATACAAACATCGTCTAGCCAGCTCATTCTATGCATATATTGCTGTGTTATCAAAGGTAGAACAAAAGTTAAAACAGGAAATAAACAATCATTAATGCTTCCAAACAAGGTTTTTATTGTTTCATACAATACAAAGACTAAAAAAAGCCTAAAACCAAAAAATAATATATACTTACTACCCTGAATGAGTAAAATATACAGCTATATATAAGAAATGGGCAAGACCATATCAACAAATCATTCTGCTGCTGTTGGTTGCTGCAGAAAGTTATAAACATGCTGTGCTTCCATCAACAAACTAATGGTAGCTGATTTTAAAAAATGCCAAACTATAGGAGTTCTTGGACCACAGAGTGCTGGTTTAAAGAGGCCCTACTGTAGCTGTTTATTTTATGTACACATTGTTTTAATATCATTTATAATATTTGTTAAATTTTTTAAAATATGCTATTAAAAACTGTTAGCATTATTTACTTCTCTTTACTTACATGCTGTGATCTAATTGCTGAAGTGGTTACTAATTTCATGACAGAAAATAGCTTTATTTTCATTCAAATAAAGCTGCTTAGTTATAAAAGACATCAATAAAACAATTGATCATTTGTAAATATCTTTTCTTAATGTTTTGTATATTGACTTGTAGAAAGAATTTTATTAAACACCAATTGTTATAAAATGCAATTTTAAAGTTTAACACATATTTGAATAAACTAAAAATATTCTGTATTTTAATCCAAAGAAAAATCCAGGAAAGATCATTTATCATTTTAACTGAAGATAAATTTCCATTTATCAAAAAAAAAAAGCTCAAGTTTTAAATTTATTGTGTATTTATAAATAATTGTTAAATAAATTTTATTCAAAAATTTATATTAAATATTTCCAGTTACCACAAGCAGCTTTTTGTTTTGCAGAGAAAGAGTCTTTCAGACATTTATTGCTCAATTAAATTGAACACTAAATAGACAAATATTCTTCAAATGGGATTCTTTTATTGCCAATGCTGTGAAATGTCTATTTCAATATTTGTAACTTTATTTATTTATTATTAAAGACAACAATGCATCCAAGTAATTATTTTTATTCATGGAATATCTGCAGAATATGTAATCCCTTAAAGTAAATACAAATCAGATAAATTCAATACAAAAGTAAAGGCAGTTATCAATAAATAAATAAAAAAAAAATTTTTGATAGGTTTTCCTGCTATTTTTGTATTTGCTTTAGCTATTTCTGTTGTTATATTATTTATTATGTAAAAAGTGCTTTTGACAAAATGTGTTTCTTTTTTAACTTAGGTTAATTGAAGTCCACAAATCATTTCAACCTAAACAATATTGAATAGCCTTTGTGGCCTCATCCATATTCATACACACATGCAAGAAGTCAAATCTGAGGGGATAAGTTACAATCCCTAAGATTATGTTTGAAGGCATGTGCAACTATTAGGAAAGTTTGTAAAGAATTTCTGTCAGGAATTAATTTCTTGTCTTGAATTAATTTGTCCATTTTGGCTTATGGCCAGAGTGAAGAATCTTCTGAGATTGATTAACAGAAGGAGAATTAATGACAGCTGCCGCTCAATTTGGCTTAAGGCTGGTGTCATAGCTTTCGCAAGATGACATGGATTTCAGAGGCATATTCTTGGACAAACTACATGTCTTAACCGTTCTCTACTCTCTGACCTCCTTTAAGTTCCTGTCAGAGAAGACTTTAGAGTTTATTGAAGAAATAAAAGATTAAATTTACCATTCTCTTCAGTGTTTGGTTCCATATGCTTTTAAGCTTTATAGTCTTTCTATTATAAGAATTGGACTCTGCAATTCTAGAATTTATTCAGGCAAAGTAATTTTAAGTAGTAAAACTGTAATAAATAAAGTAAAATAAATAATTTTAAGTAGTAAAACTTTAATAAATAAAAACAAATGAAAGTATTTTGATTTCAAGTTGGATTTTTAAAAATTCGTTTTCAGGATCCATTTTCAGAATAGTACTTGTCAG